ACTTGAATAGACTTTGACCAGAGGTCCCATCCCACTGCACCAGTTGTCTTGAAGGTTCTTGAGTTCTTGAGCTGGGGTTCATTTGCGATAAAGAGTATAAAATATTTTTTCTTGCTTAAAATTATCATAAAAGAAAAATTTTTAACAAAACGGACATGATCAGGAGAGAGTTTTTTTTTTAATATACAATTTATATATTATATTAAATATATTTTATAATATATAATTACAATTAAATATTTATCTATCAACTTTATATATTTGATATTCAGAAACCTATTATTTAATGACTTTTTTTTGTAATATTAAAAAATTATAGGTAAAGATAGATTTCTAAATTAAAAGTAAGGATATAATTCAAATATATCTTATTATTAAAAAGTTTTTTTTAAAATATAAGATTAAAAAAACTACTTACAAAGGTTTTTTGCAATTTAGGCCACTTAATCCAAATATTTTTTAAATTATGTTTCTATTATTAAAGTAATGAATAAATAATTATATATTCTCAAAAGAAATATAATTGACTTGTAAAATTTTATATACTAAATAATTTAGAAATCTATTCTTAATTATAGGGATATAAATTTTATTATTAGTTTTAAACTATCTAACTTATAAAGCTTAGTTTTTTATAGGATATATATTGTTAATTATCTATATAAGTTACTTATTATAACCTACTTATATTAGTTAACTTATTCAAATAGAAAAGAATTTTTTATATAAATATATATTTCCCAATGAATACTCTATTTTTAACTACAGGTTAATATTAATTATTAAATTTAGAGGCTTTATAGTCAAGTGAAATATGACTTTTTAAGAGTTTAACCTGTTTATCTATATAATATACAAATATAAACAGATTAATACTTCTTAAACTTCTGGTAAATATTTCAAATTTAAACCAATTAGTGTAAACTGTCAAATCTAGAAATATAAATATTAAATAGGATACAACTTTTACATACTTTGTCTTACTATATATTGTAACTAGCTATATTATTTCATAAGCAGTGACAAATCAATAATATTTTTTAAGACTTTTTATTTTTGAAAATCACAAGTAAAAGAAATATCAATTGAAATTATTTTAAGATAAAATATAGTCTAGTCTGTATATTTAAATATGATATTAATTTTAATATATTATTATTTTGTAGAGTTTAACTAAAATTAGACCAGAAGTTTTTCTTTATACAATTCTTTTCTTTTTTTATAACCTGTTATAAGTCTGTAATTACTAAAAAGGTCAGAAATTCTACCTTTATACAATCTAATTAAGAAAAATATGTAATAAATTTTTGTAATCAAGTAAATTTGAACTCTAAACCCTTATCTGATAACCTATGGAGCTTTACCAATAAGCTATGAACCCATGGGTCATATATGCATGTGTTTATTTATTTAATAATAGTATTTCTTTATAATATTTTTATATAATAAATAAAATTTGAATTAAAATTTTTGATTTTTAAAAAAATCGGTTATTTATTATTCATATTATTAATAAAAATAAGATTTTTTGATTCTTGGTATACAGATTTATAATTGGAAATAAATATAATTTTATTAATGCAAGTTATAAGTTAGTGCGAATTCGTCAATGAAGTTATTCGAAGTAATTGTAAAACAAATAATAAATAAAAGCAGAAAATGTCACATGATCTGCTCATATTTGTATTCCCGATAGAAAACTCAGCCTCAGTGCGAACATAGAATTTATATGTGGCTGTCTTCCTGTGTCACTTTGCCACTACTTAATAAATTACTTGCATCCGAACAAACTCTTTCCTATGGATTTCTTATTTCTTTTTGAAACGATTTTGAAAGTCTAGAACTCTTTCAATGTTAGTCAATAACTTATTCATGTCTTTTCATTCACGATAATTTGACAGAAAGGATCTGTGATTAAACATTTTAATTCGGAAAAATTATTTCTGTAACTATAAACAAAAATAACAGAATTTTTACTCTCAGTGAACTTTTAATATAGTTTTTTTCTTTTGTAAAACTAAAATTTCACCATGGATGATCTCAACGACTTGATCTGGGGAAATTCCGGTGTAAGCAAAACCAAAACCCCGCAGAATAATTCCACTTCATTGAATTCCCTACGAGGTCATTCCAATACTCCATCAACAACAAAAACTTCACCAATTCTCTCATCAGCTAATAAAATTCATTCAACTCCTATTGCAAGTACACCAAACTACTTTTCATCTTCTATTAATAGTAATTCATCCGAAAGTTCCGCTTTTAATAAATCCCCTGACGATTCTCCAAGAATAAATCCCGTCAGGAATAATACCGAAGCCTTTGATAAGCTTCATTCATTTAACAAAAAACCAACAAGCCTGTCCCTGATCGAACAACTTAAACTTCGAGAACAGGAACGACGTCGTAAAGAAGAGGAGGAAAATCAACGTTATGACGAACATTATGACCAATCAAATTTTTGGGATTCTTTGGAGAGTAAATCTAATAATAACCAGTCAACCGCTAATCGGAATGGGACAAGTGATTCGCAGAAAACCATAAATCAACAAGTTGATTTATTCGATGAACTTTTGATGCCATCAAGTAACATTGAGAAACATGAATCAAATCCTAACAAAGCGTAAGCTCTTTATACATAAAATTAAGTGAACCATAGAGCTAACTATAATTAACTGTGATCAAACAAATTTATCATAAATAATAGAAAAAATAAATTTTATTCTCAACCAAACGCTTCATTGGGTAGTGGTAACAACCGACCAGACATTGGAATTTTGTCCAACACTACCAACAAAGTACATCGTCGCTCCGGTATCTAATTCATTTATAAATATTCTTTTAATTATTTATATTTAATGAAATCTCCTTTTATTTTAACAGATATCAGCATCAGATGATTTACTTGATTTTGGAATCTTTGAACAAGCACCCAAATCATCTCAAGTCATTGTTGAGGACAACATAGATCCATTTGATACTAAATCTGTGTCCACTCTTACTAATGCGAGCTCGACAGTGTCACGGGATTCTAGCGAAAGTCCAATCCAAAGGAATATTCATAAAGATCATTTGGTTGCACAGATTGTTGATATGGGATTTTCGGCTAGCGAAGCTGAGACTGCACTTGCCGCCACCTCCAGTGGTGAAGATATATCATCTGCCATCGAAATTCTTTTTCAACAACGTGAGGCCGAAAATCAAGTTTTTGCGAGACGTGAGATGAATCGGAATCTTCATAAGACTCGGCAGCCAAACTTTCGTAAATTTAATACCGCGCAGGCTTATTCTCCGTATGAAGATGATGACGACGACAGTGAACCTGGATCTATACCGAGAAGTCGAAATGCACCAAAAAAAAGTCATCTTGATGTAGCAAAAAGTAACATGTACGGGAGAAGCGTGTCTGATGGAGAAAGTAGCGATCTTTCTTCTTCATCTTCAAATTTCTATCAATCCAAAGAAAAACTCATCTCAACGGCTAGCGAATTTGGATTAACTGCATTAAAGAAAGCAAGTACATTGTATAAACAATCCAAAGAAAAAGTCAACAAAGCAATAGAAGAAATACAGAGGCAACAAGGGCATCCAGATGGTGAGGTTAAAAGGCCAAGATGGATGCAAGATCAATATTTCCAAGATTCGGACGATTACTCGAGCGAAAAATATGGAGATTCAACCGATCAGCTTAATGAAATAAATCATGACGACAATAAGTTTCAAGAAAAATATGGAAAAATGGAAGGATTCGGGAAATTTAGGGACGTTCATAAAAATGATTCGGGTGATGAGACTAGACAACCAGAAAAAATTTCGAATAAAATTAACAGCATAAGTCGCGAAATTCGGGATCGACTGGTTGGAAAAAATCCTTCAAAGGTTGATGATAGATACGGAAATCTGGAAAGGTACGTAGACAGCGACAGTACAAGTAACGAGAATCTTGGTCACATCGGAATAAATGAAAAATTAAGTAAATTGGAGAAATTTCAAGATAGCTATGATGAGACTAGTAGTGAGGATGACCAGCCCGTTAATCGTAATCGTTTCGGACCGACCCCTTCTCGATCTCAAGTATCTAATTTCGATAGTATCCCTTCGCAAAAACAAATGCCCAAACCCCCCAAGCCAGCTGTACCTTCGAGAAAAACCAAACCAGATATTGAGTCAACGTACATATCACCTCGTCGACGTCCGGTAAATAATCCAAAAAATGTTTCCCATGAACCATCACCTACAATTAAGGCTTCACCGAAACCTGCTCCAACCCCACGCCCAGTAATACATGCGTCATCTGAACAATTAAGTAGTTCAGATATTCACAAAAACAAAGGAAATGAAGTATTCAAACTTGGACAATTTGACGAGGCAGAAAAATTCTATTCGCTTGCCATCGAATCATTACCTTCTAAACACCTACTACTCGTTGTACTTTACAATAACCGCGCGACAACGAGGCTCAAAATCGGAAATAATCGTGGTTGTGTTGAAGATTGCACTTTTGCGCTTGAGTTAATAGATGATGTTATGCGACCGCCACCACCAGGAGTTGAAATAGATCTAAAAGGGCAGTATGCAAAAGCACTTCTTCGTCGTGCCTCTGCATACGAGTCGATGGAGAAGTATGATCGCGCAAAGGACGATTATCAACAATTAATTAATTCTGATCCAAGTAGTAGTAACAAAGTCAGTGATGGATTACGACGTTGTCAGAAAGCAATAATGATGTCAAACGGCCAGAGTTCAGCGAATAATATTTCAAATATGCGAGTGCCCGAATATACGTCCTCATCATCCACGGCCTACAATAACGTAGCAATTCAGCCAGATTCACAAAATACCTTTGGCACACCTCTTAATGAGTTCGGATTTGTTGACCCAAATGTGAACGTATCGATACCGATACCTGTAGATCCAAATAATCCTGCAGTTAAGAAGCTAAGAGATCATGCACGTCAACAAGACTTTGAAGAATCGGAAAGATTGAGACATAAAGATGATGTGGATCAAAGGATATCGCAATGGAAATTAGGAAAGGAAACCAATGTCAGAGCACTGATTGGTTCTTTAGAAACGATACTTTGGGATGAATTAAGATGGAAAAAAGTAGGACTACATGAATTGGTCACACCTGCACAAGTTAAAATTCAATATAAGAAAGCCATCGGAAAAGTGCATCCTGATAAGGTTCGTTTAAAGGAAATTTTGTTTTTTTATATATCAACACATATAATAACACACATATCTATCTTAGTTAAATGTCTCAACTACAATTGAGCAAAGACTTTTGGCCAACGGAGTATTCTCCATCCTAAATGATGCGTGGGATGTGTTCAGGGCTCAAAATAATTTGTAATTGTCGATCAGAAAAATAGATGTTCCATTTCGTCTTTGTCGTAATTAAACAGTGAAGAATAAAGACCTTTTTGCGTTTCCGCAAAGATGAACAATTATCAAAGAAAAGTAAAATTATATCAATGGTTCTGGAAAAAACTTGGGTACGGACAATCAAGGGCGATCGAAGTATATAAAATCACGTGGGAACCGTATACCATAGGACATTTAAGGCATAGAAGTTTTAATAATAATCTGACCATCCATCATTATCATTTTAGATTGGACAACTTTACCACTAATTTCAGTTTATTCATTAAATGCATATCATTTTTGAAAATTTGTATTTTTATTACGTCATCAAATATTTTCTCTTTACCTTTAATGTTATTCAAACGCGTTTCTAATTGATGACAACTAGAACGACTGAAGGAATCCTAAAAAAATCACATTTACCAAAATCGAAAATTATAACCAATATTTCTTTTTCTAAATACTTATTCTAAATACGGTAAAATAAATAGTTTGATTTAAAAAGAAAAACTAACGAAAAATTTGAGTTGTTGAGACGATATTTATTTTCAGTCCTTAGAATGCCACGGATGATTATAAAAATAATAAATAAAAAATAAAAAATAATAATAAATCGTATTAAATACAGAAAATTTGATTTTTTAATATACAGTAAATAATAATAAAATTAATATACAGCAAATACTGTAATAATTAAATATTAAAAATAATAGATTGCATATACTTAAAGTAATAGATTGTACAGTATACATTAAAAAAAACATTAATTATACAATTAATTTAAGTTTAAATAAGTTAACCGTAAATAGTGTGCTGCGTTTTTCACATACCACATTAGTTATAATTACGTGCGCAGTATTGTATCATACGCGCGTGTTATCAAAAAGTTGGATTGCTTTTTGAAATACGTAATGGTTCTACTTATTTAGGCAATTGGTTATACTGCAAATTTTAATAAAAAATTTTTTTTTCATTTGATTACTTATTAAAAAAAAAATTACGCATTATAAGTGCTATTGGAAAGAGATTACCGTACTTGTTTACGTAGATGGCTTCTCGATTATGATGCGATTCGTGTAAGTGCACCAGCTACGCAATGTGCGCACCTCTGTGTGGGTGGAACCTTCCAATGCTTATCGACTCCGTGTTTATCGCCAAAATTGTAACTCATAATAAGACAGAATATTCTGGCCGTACGATTCGCACTGACATATCTTTGAACTTTAATATATGGAAAAGGAATTGAGAGTATGACCTCGTTATAAGATGCTGATCAAAGAGAAAGTCCGGAGATAACGAACCACCCTCGGTTCCCTTCTTTTTTAAATAATTTGCTTCTACCATGTTTACGCGTTAATATCACGCCAACCTTTAATTGTATCTCATTTCATTTGACGGCATTTCAAATCCTCAGTCAACTTCGACTTGTCTCGATCAAAAGTTCTAAAGTCCAGAGTTGATTTCACAAAGGCTAAAAAACTCTGTCATGAAAAACACCCTAAAACTTTCTAGAGAAAGTCACCTAAATTTTCTAAAACTAATTTATTACGTGACCGTTTTTTTAACAAAAAAAGTTGGAATAATGTATCTATCAATTATCATGTACTCTAATGTAATTTGAACATTGTTAATGTACTATTAAATATGAGAATCTATGGTCGAAGAAAATTTTGCACCCGCAAACAGATCCCTAAACTTGAATAATCTATAACTAATATTGTGATTTTCTAACTATCTGAAACACTTCCATTTCAGAAATTTCAATGTCCATCTTTTCGTGATCACAACATGATTTTCCCAGTATTGACTTCTCGTAAGTTTTCTGTTCTAGTGTGACAGTTAATCGATCGGGATCTTTTGGTCTACCATACCATTTACCATCTAAACCAATCGTACCAGCATACCTTCTACCCGGCCTGTGATGTATACATAAATCTGTCTGGCCAAAAATAGGTCCCCGGCAGCCAAATCCGACTGCAGATTCAGAACAACCTTTTTTCACCCGACTTAATGTTGCATTATACTTGGTATTGTTATTGTCCCTACGATAACTATTGCTACTTTGTGTAACTGTATTAGTGGCTGGGAGAAATGAACCATCACTTGCGTAATATTGGATAGTGGCACGAATTGGTGGTGGAATCTGATTTTGGTTAGTAGCTTGTTGGGTCGACCTATCTTCCACGAGCACCTTTGTCTCACACTTATCGTTGCTAGTAAATGAAAATAGAAAGCTCTCTTCAGTATCAAAATATTCAATTCCACCATCTTTTCTAGACGATGAATTACGATACGAAGACCAATCGACTGGATTATATCCTCCGATCAAGCCTCCTGTGTATTTCATCCTCATCACTATGATGGTCGCGCCATTATGATGAATTATGCTCGGTGGCGGACCATGAGGTCTATGCCGATATAGTAATTTAAAGTTATATGGCATATTTATCCCGTTATAAGGTTCCTTATTTACATCCCCACCACATTCACCATCGTCCGGCAATAAGTCTCTTTTATCGATCCACGTTGCTATCAATCCGGCCATCTCACGATTGATCAATGTTGAATCGAGAGATGGACTATGTGGTGGTAAGATGACACAAGTTGAAGGTCGAAAATTAGAAATATCATAGTAAAAGTGAATTTGATCCATAAGATCTTTGCGAGGTAATATTTGTCGAAATGGTCCAACTTTTTGTTCCAAGTCCTTCGGAGAAATGCTAAAGAATCTAATCAATGGTAAAATGTTTTCCAAGGTTGATTGTAAAGCTTTAAATTGTTTCGTCGAGAAATTTGACACTGATGTCTGGTTAAGAGACGGGGTATTGGAAATACCCCAATCAATGACACGTTCCCAAATTCTAATTTCTTCCATTCCAAGCGCTTCCGATTCCAACACGTGTATAAGCACGTCCTCCTCAGTATGGAGAAACTCTGGTGATTCAAAAAATAATGATGGTTGATCTGCAATTATTTCTTGGCAACATAAATTTAACTTTGATGCAGCTGGGACCTGAAGCATCATCTGTAGAATTGAGTTGAAATCACTTTTTATCCACATCGATTTGTGATTAATTATTTGTTCCTCGATGAAATCGAATAACTCCTTGAGAAGCAAAATGTCCGTTGCTATTAAAAGTTGTAATAACATGTTCAAGTCATTATCATGTTCCAGGAAAAACGTTCCACTATACATATACCTTTTGTAAAAAAGGAAAGTCCGTGAGAAGAAAACGTGTCAGAAATAAAATTTTAAAAAAAGAACCGAATTAATTGAAATAATAATTGTCATGATCGCCTTTTTCATCACCTCCCAACCATCACTTACTTGAGTATAACGCCAAATGCGTCATGAGTTATATTCAAGTCCACTAGGTTAAAATGAAATTTATCATCGACCTTCTTCGTCCAACCATGCGATAACGCCGCCCTAAAGTAATCACACCTTCCAAATAATATTATCGAATGAGCTTCAAAAGATTTAGTATTATTGTGATCCCCGACTTGTATAATGGAATCACGAAAGTCCGTTATGTCAAGTAATTTTGAGAAGTCGCTCGATAACGTCGTGAAAAAGTTGACCGTCATCTCTTTTTATTTCACTTTTCACACAATTTTTTGGAGATACGATGGAAAAAATTGACAAAACAAGTTTTTTTTCAATTCAATAATATAGAGATAAGAAAACAAAGTGATCTATTTTTATATAAAATCCAAATCTCTACGTCACACAAAAATAAGGCGTACTTCCAGAAGTGGAAATCGATTTTCACATGACTCGTCATAAAATTTTTCCATAGATGTGATGCACGGACTAAACTGGTTTTTCGGCGCAAAGAAATCGACTTCCAGAATTTTCGGCCGCAGGCGTATGTTAGGATGATCCTAACTAGACGGAAATTAAAGTGAGAGTCATAATGTTTTCCTTTATTGATTCCAACATATCTCGGGTAGAATGAAATAGGTGATCGCTTATACGCTGGACGTTAATTACCCCAACTGTCGCAAAGAAAACCCCCTGGTGACTAGATCTCTCCTTGAATACCGCTCATCCCTTCTCACCTGAACATTTATTTATTAACTGATGATAATAAGTAAATGTGTGTCACACCTTTCCATGTCTTTTTCTCACCTGAGTTCCACTAAAAATAATACCAAATACGTAATATCTCCTGAGGTTCAGACTCACCTCACAAATCTTCAAATATGTAGCGTCGATACGGAAATAACAAACATTACTGCGTATCGGCATGGCATGTACTGTAGGTCAATTCCATTGAAAGTTCGCACAAAGAAATGTAGAAATGCAAGTATCATCTCCAAATGCGGAAATAGTTCATTCATTCACTAAACAACCATAGTTAACTAACACATTTATCGTTGCACAGAGCTCTTTTTATCAAATATGACGAACATTACATGTCATAACATACATAACATACAGGTGACATTTTATTATTTCATTTATATGAGCATAAGCATTACATAATTGAAAAATTTATGTAATAAAAAAAAAAAACAATCATTCGGGTTGAACCCGAGAGACAAGAAATGCGAGCTCAAATGCCAAGTCCTTGATTTTCTCCCGATGATTCCTTCCCCCACCAAAATGTCCCTTCTCCAGGTCAGTCTTCAAGATTAATAGATTATCTTCGTTCCCACTCGAAGGAAAATAGAAATTCGATTGTCTTGCTCTCATTCGGGCCACCCACTTCAACGGATGCCAGTAGGGCACTCGTTGATCTTGCATTGCAGCCGTGACTAAGATCGATGACTTATTCCCGACGTCACATTTTCTGGTGTCAAGTTGATGACTGATATTGTCATAAGGAGCATAACTGGAAATGTAGCCATAGGCTTCTTCGTTTTCCCTTGGATTTCCCCGTTGGTGGTACTCTACTCGTGTCAGGGGCAAGTCTGGATCTAGCATGCTGGATAGTGGATCAAGGAAGGGCACTTTCAAGAT